CACAGGCAGCTGTTCCTGCATGGGCCCTTGTGCTGTGCTCCTTTGCAGGATGCTGAGACATGGAACCCAAAAAGACTGAGCACTTCGATCTTGACATCACAAAGGCATGGTTGGTCTGGTTCAAGACCTCTGATCCATGCACATGCCAAGCTATCAAGTTGTGACATGGAGAAGGCGGGCCCGTCTGTTTATGAGACAGCAGTTCATGATCGAAATCTGCAATAGCAGGGTGATGAAGACGACCGCAAACTGTTTCTGAAGATGCACATATGTGCTAGTTATGCATAGTTTCGAGATGGAACTTGCTTGTCTAAATTTAGTTCAAGTAAGCTGTGTGTTTGTTTTCAAATTTTCAAAATACAAATTCAGACACTGAACTTCCTTCACCGCCCCCCCCCAAACTTCACAGGAAATCGTTCTCAAGAGTCATTCTTCTCACAACTAGTAGTATATTATCAATCCCTCACCTCTGATCATGGTCCGGTGTCTAACTTATTATTTAGAGCATCTCCAGTAGCTTACAATGCAACTTCTCCAATAAGATAATGTTGGTGTTCACCAATGCTACTCTTTAAGGTATTGCAAGAGCGGTGGCAGTTTGCGGCGTGCTGACCTTCCCCAGGGTCGGTGGCCGTGCCTTCTTGCTGCTGCTCCTCGGGGTGGCTGCTGGCCTGCAGGTCACGTCTTCTCGAGACTGCTCGTGTGCGGCGGGACGCCTGCTGTGCGCGTGGTGGCGTTAGTGGCGGTGGGGACCCCTGCGTTTCGTCGCCAGCGCCTTCCTTTGGGATAGGCATCCTCTGCAGGGGGGTCCTGGCGGGCCACGACGGACTGGTTGTTCGAGGTTAGGGCTAAGGCCTGAACGGCGATGTCTGCGGACGCCGCTACCTCCTTGGTGGCGTCCTCTTCATACCTCTTCTCCTGTCGCTGTACGTTCCTTGCCGCGTCGCTGGTCCACGTTGGAGCTCCCTGTTGTGCCTGCGCGCGCTTATTGTATGTCTTCACAACGGTTCGTCCTACCGTATCGTCGTTTGGATCGTCGTGGGGATGCTTTGCCACCGTCGTTCAACTTTTGTGGTGGATGCTTTGCCGCTACCATGTTTCTTCCGACGGATACTTGGCCATCATGGGTCTCTCTTCCTTGGCAGATAATGTGCTACCAACGTCGCTTTGGTCTCGACGAATACTTTGCCACCAAGATCGTGTCCCTATGGCGGATGCTTTGCCGCCACGGGTTGTGCGGGGCTCCAATCCCCTCCCGTGGATACTTTTGCTACTGGTGTTGTGGATGACCATGTCGTCTCCTTGGGTGGATACTTTGCCACCACGGGTTGGCTTCTCTGTAGGAAACGGGTTGCGCTGATGTATTTGTTTTTCTTAGGTTTAGTCTGCTATTGGGTGTTGTGGCCTAGGGCTCCCCTCCTTGCCTTTCTTGCTTTTTTTGCGTCTTGTTGTAATCCTTGGATTACCTAGGCTCAACCTGTACTAAAACTTTTATTTCTTCTTAATGAAATACGTGTCCAAGGACATGGTTGAGAAAAAAATTTAATGTGAGTTTTAGAATTTAAGGTGTGAATGTAGGGTTTAAATTTTTTAGCAAGTTTCAATTAATTTCACTAAAACTTTAAGTTGCGAATGTGATGTTTTCATTCTAGGGGTTCAACTTTGACATGGAGCCCACATGTATGTATAACACATATATGTGTACAATAGTAATAGAAACTGGTAGTTCAACTCAAAGCAATGGGTATGAATAAGATTGGTTGAAGCTCTGTTTATTGAATGTACATGTGTTCACCTCAATCTATATGTGTTGAACTAGAATTTAGTTTAATTTTCACTCCAATTCACTTCAACACATGTATATTGAGGTAAATACATGTACATCAAACAAGACCTGATGATTATTGTCTAATGGGTATGGTTAAGATCGGGGAGGGTGAAACGTGGATAATGATGATATAGGATTGGATGTGACTTTTGAGTATTTTTAGGATTTTTTTTTTCTAACGCAGTTCGTGAGAATTAATGCAAAGACTTAGTTGGAGCCTTAAATTAGTAGTACTCTCTATCCTGAAATATAAGGCATTCTTGAAACTTTAAGATTAATTATGAAGTAAAACAAATGACGTACGTAAGTACTTAGGCCTCCCTTAATTATACAAAGAGCCTGCGGTTACTATATTTTGAGCTAATGACCGGTACAGAGGTGATTGGTGCTTTGCAGAAGTTAATTTACCTAGAATGTATTATATTAGGATATTTCTCGAATGTTTCAATGCCTTATATTTTTTGAGAGATGGAATAGCGTAAGGTAAGATGTACTAAATTTTAAACTACATTTTCTAATGAAGAATGCGGAAGCTGGTGAGCAGTTTCCCTTGAGAGAAGTGAAGGTAAAACTTGTACTTCTTCATATGTGAATCAGTAAACCGTGTGTGGTCATGTCAAACACTTTGCATATGAAGCAAAGTGGAAATGGTTATTGGCGAATATCACTGGCAATTACAGATGGAAATATATAGTTAGCTTGCCAAACATGGAATTGGGCCTCATTGGCTAGACCGGGCCAGATTACTAATTTGGACCTTAGATTCATGCTGGTTTACCTTGACCACCACGTTTGGGTTTCGACTTACAATTTTTAACGCTTTATATTACCAACAACATATAAATTCCCTATAAAAAACATATAAAATTCCATCCAAACCTTGTTTTCATGGTTCCATGCATTCCTACTCCGCTTACTCTGCTCAGTTTCTCAAAGCGAAGCCAAAAATAGAAACTGAGAAACCTGCTCGCTTTGAACAGACGATTACACATAAGTTGCCTAAACAAATAGCCCAGAAAACTTCAATGATATATTTCATATAAAATCGCGCTGAGGTATTTTGCAATTTTCTCACAAAGGCCTAGTTGTCAACCGGCTTGCTTGATTCGATTTATTTTCTCAGGGTGTGCTTGATTTGATTGAGTCAGATGATCGTTCATGCATTTTTCAACACCGTTCATGGCTCACGCGTGGCGTGCCATCGATGTCAACAGCGGATATTAAATTCAAATTCTTGTTTTGATGGAAAGGTAAAATGAGGAATAGCCTCAGTTTATGGTTAGTAATACTTAACAGTGCTGCAATTTTTTTGGATGTGATCGTCAAACCTGAGACTATAAGTTAAAACTGATATAGCTTGAGAATTGAGTGTTCAGTCATGTCCGTTTCAAAAAAAAAAAGTGTTCAGTCATTAAATTTTAGTGGCATGTCTCTGTTGGTCAGATGTTTAAAAAGAGAGCATAGTTGGATTCAAAATTAGCAGCCCTATTGGAAATCTCATCTAACCTCTCAGGCTATTTAAACTGAATCAGTTCACCCCCTAGTTGAACTTATCATTTTGTTTCTTCCTCTATAAATTGCATCTGAGTTCAAAACTCATTGGAGTTTGGAGAAATTTTCTTTCGAAATGTGGGTTGCAGCAACATCATACCATGCGTTATACCACATTAAGGTTTTTCTGGAGCAATGTCAATGTTACGGTGTAGTCATCAAACTTTAGGGCATAAATAAAGAAGTTGAAGCGTCCAATTAGACGTCCTAGAAGCATAAGCTCAAACTGTTGGAGTACAAGTAACGGGTATCCGAAACTCGCTGGGTTTTTACCCTATTATAGGGTAAGGGTATGAGTCAACTTTTCTACCCACAGGTTTGTTAATGGGCAAAAAGCCAGACCCAGCGGGCTTGTGGGCATGGGTCTAGGTCTGGGTCTGTAGTACCCAAACCCGTAAACCCATGGGTTTTATCATATCTTATATTATAGTATAATATAGTTGAGTGCTTTAGTCGTACGGTGATGACTGGTGCTCGATGTGTAAGTTGAAATTAAGAGAAGCTTTTGCCGTAGGACATTATTATATCCATGTAAGTATAGAACGACACTACACCAGTAGGATTTTTGAAAAAAGAACTGACGCTCATATTCAAATTGACACTAGAAATAGCAAGACAGCTACCTAATTTGGGCCGGCCCAATTTGCATAGCGGCATGGCACTTGTTCGCTACAGCAACAGCGACGTTGCCTGTCTGCTAGTGCTAGCTGTGCCTGTGCTCACTCAGGGAGAAGCAATAGTCCCACCTCGCCAGTAAGGGCAAATGATAGACTCTTATATAAGATGACAAAAGCTAGCATATTTTATTGTTTTTTTTGTTGGCATGGGCAACCAGTTGGGTACCCGTGTCCCGAACGGGCATAGATTTGGGTAATGGGTCATAGTTTTTTTAATGGGCAAATTTTTTATTTACGGATATGGGTTTAGGATGACAAAACCCTGTGGGTTTATGTCCGTTGCTATATCTAGTTAAGATATTAGCAGACCTGACCGCAGACTTAGGACTCCATCAGGGCACTTTGGAACCGCCTACGGTTCGTCCAGTGCAATAAACCTGACTTACAAGAAAAAACAGGGGCCGAAGTACTAGTAACTTGGAATCATGTGTGATTTATTTATTTGCTCGGACAAAAGATGTTGCATGATTCAACCCCCAAAGATGGCTTTGAAATTTTGTAAACCACGGAGTGTATATGTCTGGAGCGCGTATCAGCAAGGGTGAATGAAAACATAAATAACAATCACTCGGATGATGGATAGAAATTCCGTTTGAAATTTGACATTCTGGTGATGTATACAGAAACTGGCAGGTGCAGGAGGATTTGTCAGTGCCATGAAAAATTGAAGCACTACAAGAAATTGGCAAAAGAAAAAAAAAAGAATACCTCTAACTCTACGTTGGGCCGGGCATAGTACGATGGGCCAGGAGAACCTCTCGGTGGGTCCAGCCCGTTGCAGAAGCATGGCGGTTTCGTGAGCGAGGAGTTGGGGGGCCGGTGAGCGGCGGCGCGGGAGGAATCCGGCTGCGAGAGACGAGCAGCGTACGGCGAGAGGGCGGCGAGAGACGAGCGGACGAGAGACGAGCAGGCGACGGCGGGGTAGGGCGGCGAGTAGCTCCGTGATGGCGCCGCAGCTCGGCGCGTCGGCCGCGAAGAAGCGGCGGGTCACTGAGGAAGCCGCGGCGGCGGCGGCCGAGGAGGGGGACCCCATCCTGGCGCTGCCGGAGGACCTGCAGCTGCGCATCCTGTCCCTGCTCCCGCTCAAGTCCGCCATCCGCACGGGGGCGCTCTCCACGAGGTGGCGCGCGCTCTGGGCGCGCCGCTGGCCCGCGCCGTCCTCGCTCGACCTCCACCTCCGCTCCGGGGTCGACGACCCGGATCGGCTCCTCGGCTTGCTCCACCGCCGCGGGCGCCGCCACCTCGACCGCTTCGTCCTCACCTTCCACTTCGGCGAGTACCGCCGCCGCCGCCTCCCCCACCGCTACTTCGGCGACGAGGACATCCGCCGCTGCCTCGGCTACACCGCCGCCTGCGATGCCAAGGACCTCCACCTCGACATCGCCGACCACTTCATGAGCACGGTCTCCATGCTCCGTTTTCCGGCGGCCTGCCCCCGCCTCGCGCGCCTCTCCCTCCTCCGCGTCGGCAACGTCACCTTCGGCTACTCCCTCCGCTCCGACGCCTACGCCACCCTCGAGGTCGTCCAGATCCACTCCGCCCACTCGGTGGACATCAACCACCTTCTCCCAGCGTGCCCTCGCCTCCGCACCCTCGACCTGCGCGACTGCGAGTTCCTCGATACCTCGGATGAAATCTACGCCACGTCGCCGCAGGGGCGCCTCAGGAGCCTCACCGTCGCCGAGTGCAACCGCGTCACCCAGCTCTACGCCGGCATGGCCTCCGGCCTCCGCTCCTTCCGCCTCAGCAGTGCCCTTCTCCCCATCTACGAGATCGCGGCCACCGCGCAGCCTGACGACCTTTACATCTGCCTACGGGGGCCATGCATAAGCTATCCTCTCAAGCACTGGATCCAAGCGCTTCCCAACCTCGCCAACCTCATGGTCCTCACCATCTGCAGCATTGCCCTCCGGGTCGGTCCACTGTGATGCCTCTAGTTTGTTTTGTTCTTATATGCTGTTCATCTAGATTGTTTTTCATTTCATCTAGTTTATTCTAGTCTGCTAAAGAACTTTGTAAACTATTCTTGCAGAGGATTTATGCGTTGGCTCGTTTCGGATCAGCTACTTGTTTGACCAGGCTGAGTTAATTGCCGAGCTTAAAAGAGCTGCAGCTGCTGATGTTTGAAATGAAAAGCTCCAATCTCGCTCGTATCTATATGTTCCCCCAGACCTGCTGGTGTCCAAAGCTGGAGAGGCTCTTTGTGCAGGTCAGTGTCAAATTGTTCTGGTGCATTTCACTTATACACATTCTTATTTCTCTGGTGTTCCTGAATGCTAACACTACATCTACCTGCAGCTCCCATCAAGCAGTGGTGATACATTTGTAGGGAATTCCTTGGACGTGGCAGAGGATGATGATTCAGAGGAAAGGCATTCTGAGGAAGATGTTACAGAGGATGATGAACCGGACGAAGAGGTTTCGGAGGAAGAAGATACAGAGAGTGATGAACCAGAGGAAGAGCTTTCGGAGGAAGATGTGACGGAGGATGAGTTATTGCAGGAAAAACTGGTACAAGAATATATGCTGAAGGAAAGACCCTTTTATGAGGATGTGTATGAGGAAGATATTCTGGGAGATGTGCCGGAGGAAGAGTATTTTGAGGAAGACGCACCAGAGTATGACTTAGGTAACCTTATGTTTGTAAGGATGATGAAATTCAAGGGCCACTACTTTGAGTTGCGTCTAGTAAGCTTTTTGTTGAGGAAGGCCACTGGTCTAAATAAACTGCTATTGGTTGCTCCTGAGGGGAATCTCATGGACACGGTTGGAAATGATCCTGTGGATCTATCTTCTTTTGTAGAGACAAAACAACTGCCTTTCAAAAGAGCTTCACCCAATGTTCAGATAATTCTGAGCAAATGTGATTCTGCTGGAATCCAGCCAGTGCATGCTGAGATTTTTGCCAACTTTTAGTTTTCTCAGTTGAAGAATACCATAATCTAGATAAATAGTAAGAACTTGCCAAGTGGATATAACATAACTGAACGTGTTTTCGGCTCTTTATCTATATGTTCCGTTTCCATCATTATTGTATGAAATGTGGAACAGGAAAGCCACAATATATGTATTGTGGACAAGTGGGCATTATATTTTGTGGTATAGATCACCTGGTTGTATGATTTAGGCATTTTGTGCTGCTCCCTAAGTTCGTTCTCTTCTCATTTTGTCTTTTGTTTAACCAGGTAGCGTGCCCGTGCGTTGCTACGGGATAACTAATATTTTGTATTAAAAACACACGGATCGCATGATAAGATAACAATACTGTAAAAATTAAATACCAACGGTAAAGTGACATTTAATCCAAAAAGCAAAGTTTATGAATTTAACAGTCACGGAGTGCGCGGCGTCGCAGGCTCACAAACTCTACTTTATAGACCTTTCCGTGATGCGGCTAAGATAATATTTTATGTTGGCAGGAAGAAATCTCCGATATCTATTTCTTTCGTGCTCACAAACTAATGACCCTGGTGCAATAATGGAAAATACAAAGGAGCTATCCTCGTGAATGCGCGAAACCAACGGCACTACGATCGTGCCATTCCACGACCACTAGTATGGTGTTGTTTAGCACTATTGTTCACTATTATCGCTAACTTGCTTCGTTGGTTTTATTCAAGTAATTTATGTTTGTAATTATGCAGGTACGAATTCGGTTGATCCCACATTGGCACATGAGAAAAGTGGGGAAAGTCGACAAAACTCATGGTTTTGAGAACATACACGTGTAATAGTTATGAATGGTTACAAAACGAAATATTATGAACAAAACACCGAAAGTGTTATTTTTATAATAATAATATAACACATGTTCAATTTTCATTATGCCATCACACAAGTGTATATACAACATCTCCGTGTAGAGTCTGATAAACCATTTAAAAATACCTAGAAACAGCAACAAATATGTTATTAGTGAGATATTATTTATACAATATAAATTGAATAGAAAAAATGCATTGTATGCGTTAGTAATGTTCTGTTACTTCGCCTATGGCGTTAGAACCTCCTTAAATACAATATTCTTCGTAAAAGTTCCATCCGCTATTGGGGTCTTCTTATCTTATCTTTTTTATTTGACGCATTCTTATTTTTTCCCCTCGGCATTCTTTTTACCATTTTTCTTCTCTATCTTTTTGGCCTCCTCTTGTGCCTCCGCATCAAGCGGGAGGGCAAGGATCTTAATATTGGTTCTTGACGTGACTCTAGACATCACAACGTACAACTGACCGTGAGAGAACACTGGTGCGGGTAGGTACACACCCACGTTCGGGATAGTTTGGCCCTGTGACTTGTTGACCGTCATGGCAAAGCTCAGCCTGATAGAAAACTGCTTCCTCTTAAACTAGAACGGGAACATCTCGTCATCAGACGGGCATAGCGGTATTCGAGGAAGGAATACCTGCTTCCCAGCATGCTACCCCACCACGATTTCAGCGTCGATTGTATTTCTTCGGAACCCCCGCACCACCAGCCTTATACCGTTGCATAGCCCATTGACAGGGTCAATATTCCTAAGCAATATGACAGGACACCCGAGCTTGAGCTTCAAGACATGGGGAGGTAGCCCGTTGGGGGTCAAACTGTTAAGGAACTCCGATGGATAGTAGTTATGTGGATCATCTACCGCGGAGTCAAAACTATGATACACCGTCTCGCCGCCCTGAAACATATCAATCATTTTCATATTGATCATGTCCACCCAATCGTTATGTGTAGATAAAATCGCTCTAGTGGTGATGTAGTCTTTGTCCGCCATGCTTGCATTTAGATATGGAAAGATGATGCCGATCAATGTATGAAGATCTTTCTCGGCATCTCTAGAGTACGGGACACGTATCTTGTCTGGAATACGTACATTGCCATCTCCGTTAACCTCTTTTGTTCCACCACCAATGCGCAATAGATAATTTGGAAACCACGGGTCACTCTGAGCCCTCATGTTGCGAACAAGCTTTAGGTGGCGCATGGATTCCCAAAGATATGACCTTCGTAGAGAAGCACCGACTATTTGAGCTCTGGATCCTTTCCGCACAACAGGGAGGACCTATCTGAAATCCCCACCAAGGATAGCAGTATTTCCACCAAACAGTAGGTTTGACCGCCCATTATATCCCGTAGGCTGTTGTCTAGTGCTTCCACATTTTGCCTCTTTGTCATAGATGCCTCGTCCCAAATTATGAGAGCTGCTTGCTGCAGCAACTTGGCAGTACCACTCTGTTTTGTGAAGCTACAACAACCGCCCTCTTGAAGAGTGAGGGGTATCTTGAAACGCGAGTGGGTCGTCCTCCCACCTGGCATTATGGCTGCTGCGACTCCAGATGTAGCTGTAGCCACGGTAAGCTTGTCCTGGCTGTGTAGTTTTGCGAGAAGTGCCCTATACAAAAATGTCTTTCGTGTCCCGCCAGGTCCTTCCACAAAGAACAACCCGCCTTGTTTGCTGCAGACAGCGGCCATTATCTCATCATAGGTAGACCTTTGCTCGGCGTTGAGTGAGTCGCACAATAGCACATCTTCGGGATTCTGCTCGACGCTAGCTTCCTCAAATATCTCGTCGTATGAGTGATCAATATCTGGAAGAGGAAATGACCTTATGTCCTTCCCCATAGACTGCAGCATGTTTCTAATGTCTATCAAAACAATTTGTTGCACCAGATCCGGGGATGGATGATTGCGGCTGTAGTCCTCTTACATTGCATCGTAGTGTTTTTTCCACAACCCCATCACATCATGCGGCTCGCAGAATACCAATATTGTTGCAAATAGCCTCCACAGAGAGGAAGGCATCTGGAATAAAGTAGCTTCAGTTAGACATTCATCCGATTGTATTGTCTTCTTCGATTAGACCCTCCTTTACGTAGCTTCACGGAACGAAAAGGTAGTAGCACGCCATCAACCGTCCTCAGATGTTCGTATGATGTAGCACCAGCAACATTGTTCAAGAGAACACGAAGAAAGTAACGTTCTCCCTCAGCAGGATGAGCCGAGATGACTTCCAACTTGAAAAATAGAGTTTTTCCTTTTTCGCGAGAATTTACCATCGATCGCGGGTAAAATGCTCCGGGAAGTCCCAATACAAGATTCCATGGCTTCCTCATGATGCTGTTTGCATCGATGTATCTTTGTCAAGATTGACTCTTCTACACCTGGCCTATTAACGATCCGTTCGACCTTATCCCGTTTATAAAATGCCACCATGTGCATGTCGGGTAGATGAAGCTGCAGTTGCTATACTGGTGGATGGTTCTTGCTCAAGTCAAAGCCATATATCCTCCATAGTGCTTCTGGAGGCATCACCCGCTGGGCATCTCTATACTGCTTGATCTCATCAATGTTCCCTTTCTCGTCTGCTTTGTCGGTCTCCCTCATCACCACCGATGCCCTGTCATGTCCCTTGTATATGTATTTGAATAGATACTTTACTGATTTAATGCTCCCATAGGCCTCAACATTGATATGGCAGTTGAAGGTACGTAGCAGGCAAGGGTTGTAAGGCACGACCCATTGATTGTCAAGGTAATGGCCTTGAACTTTTAGCCTACGGCCATCATTGCGTCGCTGATAGATGGGGTACGAATCCTTTCCCTGTGACGTTGCCTCACAGAATGGGCGCGGGTAACAGTTCTTGCATGACCCGTGGCCCACTGTGCACGGACAGTATGGATTTAGCGTCCCGCAGGGACCATGCATCATATGCTTCGTCACCATCTTGTAGAGCTCAGGATACTTCTTCTTGTTTGGTAGCTCTGCACTGATAATCATGTCATATTGCTCGGGACATGTGAGCTTGTACTTTCGTTCCATTATCAGCATGAAGTGTGCATGCGGCAAGCCCCTCTTCTGGAACTCCACTACATATACGTAGGCCTTCACCTTCCCAAGTATGTCTTTCTCCATCAACATTTTCCTCATCGCCTCTAACTTTGCTCTGAAGACCCGTGTGACGAGTTCTGGGCGGTCCTGTGGTGTCTGGCCTGGATAAAGTTCATTCTTGATCTCATCCCAGTTAGGGTTGCACATCATTGTGAGGAAGATATCAGGTTTACCATACTTTCGCACCAGAGCCATTGCATCCATGTATCGACGCCTCATATCACGGGGTCCTCCGATGAATGACGAAGACAGGACAGTACAACTTCCGACATTCTCAGCAGATCCTTCACCTGAATGCATGCTGTCCACCAGGCCTTGGTATAGGTCAGCCCTCAAAGTATCCTGATTGTTCCTCATATAGTCTAAATGTGAGCTCTCAATCTTGATATAGTTGTCGACGACGAACTGCTGGAAAAGACGTCGGCCATAGAGTATTGGATTAAATATCCCTGGCCGCATCTGGAACTTGTAGCAGTAGTAGTCGCGCACGGAGACACATGTATTTGAAACAGGTTCTACAGGGAGACATTGTTAGAATTAGTATCATGTGTTAACAGAAAAGAGTTTATATTGCATTATTGAAAAGAGTTCAAGTTACCTCCATCATCATCGTCACCATTCTCAGCACATTTTTTGCGGATTTCTCGAGCTCGATCAACTTGAGCCATAGTCACACCCACTTTTGGAATGCAGTTGTGCCACCCGAGCTCACCCATTGGAAAGAACGCCGGGTGTGACAGTGGGTCGTAGCATGCATTATATGAGTGGATGCTATGTATAGACCGATCCTTCCCTTGCAGGAGAACACTATGCTCGAATTGGCCATGACGCTCACTCCCCTCAACCCAGACGGCGGCCACCTCTGATGTCAATGGCACGTTATATGTTCTCTGGTCAAGCCATTGGTCAAGGTTCAACTCGACCCGGTAATCCTCGAGGTTTTCAACGTGTCCCATACTCCTTAGTTGCTAAGAGTAGGGATTCCCATTAAAGAGACTAACCAATTGCTCTATAACTTCTCTGTCTTTTTGGGTGCATTGCTC